TGGCGCAACAAAACAATGCTGGAGCAAAAGCCAAGGATGGATATCACAACCATGCACATGAATCTCCAGCAGAGAACCCCCCCGACAGACTTCTTTGGATTTGGCTCAAAACTCGCTTGATCGATGTCTTCTGATCCCACATCCCAGACTTTTGATGCGATGCCATGCATGTTGTCCTCACCCCAGCAAACACAAGCACCCACACCACGCACTTGGCCGCCCGGGAGGAAAAATCGCCTGCTTGCATGCTTGCAGGGATCGAGGAGAGCTGATTGAGGCACCTGAACTCAACTGCGCCAGTGAGGAAGTGTGGATTCTAAAGTTGTAGTCTCAGTGGTAGCTAAATCCTGTGATTTCCATACTGTAAGGTTGATGGACATGACCAGCTTGAAACTCTGAAGATCCTAATTTGTTCCGTGAGTCTTACTATTCTTACTGAAGCATGCAGCATACCCAGTGCCACAGAATCTTGGCCATCAACCCTGGTAGCTCCCGAATGCAAACACCAGAGACAAATTGTCCACCCAAACGTGGGTTCTTGCCGGGCAAACGTCCCTCCTAAGTACTACTTAGCACTACTTCGACAAATTGCTTGCTTGTTACCCACAACTCTCTACCCTGGCCGTTGAGACCCTTGTCGGAGTGAAGCTTGAACGTCTCCGGGCAGCTCGGAAGGTGGCTTCCTTTCAAAGAACTTGGATGCCACTGGACCGACCCTCTCGTGTTCTTGTTCTCCTTGGTTCCAAGGGACCAATCTTGGAACATCACAAACAAATAATTCATGTTCAATGTCAATTTCAAACTCTATTTATATACAATATAGTTGCGTCTAGATCCGGTGAAAGACATCATATGTCATCCTATTTTCCATGGTATTTCCAATGTCTGACGTGCCCCCCACAGCCACGCTACGAACCAACCCGGGATGGTTCCCACCCGCCCAGTGCCGCTCGAGATCGCGTGTGCGTGTGCCGCACTCGCCCAGGTACGGGGGTTGTTCTCATCGAAGTTCGCCAAGGAAGTCATGGCCGCAAACTGCGACACACCGACCTCCCTGCTACATGCATACTGAGCCGGACAGACGCCCGCATGGACAGATGCGCAGCGTTGGTTGGGGCGAGATGCCAAAGACACCGGACGAGAACGGTGAGATGCCGCAACGGCTTTTTGCGCCAGCAACTTAGGTACATCTGGGTTCAAGATCGCTTCCATTGGGTGATGCCAGCACCTCCAACAAAATTTGGTAGACCGCTACAACGGTGTGTGTGTGTGTGTGTGTCCATCCAATCGTCATGCTTTTTCTCGTGGATTGAGAGGACCGATGGCACAAACCCCAAGTTGCGGTGGTTTAGCAGTGGATCCCCATCTGTCTAGGACCTCTTGGGGGAAACGTGCCATCGAACCTCCGAAACCACTGTAAGGTGCTCCTGGTACGATGGCTTTCGACCAGACGAGAACGGACCCAGTCTCGACCCAGCTGAGATGAGCTGGGTGATGCTGGGTGTGTCATAGGGAAAGCCCCTCAAGACTGTGGTCAAAAGCAGTCATTACTACAGACTACGGTCTACGGCTCAAGGTTTAGTAAGTTTAGTACGTCAATGCAAGGTTAAGCCAGTCTTGGCCAAAATGATCCTACAGATCCTTCAAAACTCTCGCTGGTGGGTTCCGGTCTCCTGTCTCCCCCCGTGGGGACCCCTATCCTATACACAACTGAGTGAAGCCTTTTTCGGTTTACTCCATTGAGGTCCCAAGGTCCTTCGGACTGGGCGATCCACGGGAGGCGATCGCTTAACCCGTGCGCACGTCGGACTGGGCAGCGCGATCCGCAGGACTCTCCAGCTTTTTTTGTTCCTCTTCTCGGTCAGGCGAATGGAACACAACCATGAAGTTCGTGCTTCAAAGGATGGTTTTCGCCTCCTCGAGTGCCTGACTGGTGGTCGTGGAGGCCAGCAAACAAGGTCTGACCGGCTGATTGGTTTTCACCTGAAGCATATTTCATTGAGACGCATTGAGATGAATCAACCGCTCAACGGTTGACACCAAAACTAACCTGGTACCACCATGTTCACATCCTTCAACCAGCTGAGTGCTCTGTCGCTAATACGTCTCGAAACCACCGAGGTTGTTGTTATGTTCCGTTCATGAAGGGGTTCCATCGCTGTGGGTCCACTCATCTGGACCCCCAAGAGGGCGGGTGTTTTGACCCTTCTTGGTAGGTGGTGCTAACTGCTAACCCGTGTGATCCCGCATGTGAGTGTGTACCATGCCGCTGCTTAGCTAGTTGCAGGCTGAGGGATCTATTCCTGACAGGCACATCGGCTCAAGCAGCTGAGTAGCTGGGGCAGGGAGAAGCTAACTAGCTTGGCTTGGCAAAAGTAGACTCTCGCTGCCACAAGGGAAGCGAAGCTTACATGGCTTCCAGGTCTCCTCCCATCCCATGGCACCTGGATCTCAGCACCTCGAGCCTTTTGGCGCGTCTCAAAGTTCTTGACCACCTCGGCAGCACGTCTCACTCCGCAAGGAAATTGGCCCATGCCATGTGCTTTGGCAGTTCCCCATTTGTTGTGGCAATTGTAAGGAGGGGTCGGGAATATGCGCGGGGTGTGGCTACCCGCTACTTGCTCCAAGGTGGGACGCCAATTGCATGGGTTCTAGGATGGTCTAGGTCTAGATGCTTGTGATCCTTGCTTAGCCTTTTATGGAGTGATCCCCAAATAAGTCGAAAATCGGTCGAAAAGTCCATCCCCACTGAAAAATCGCGTGCCACTATCTATTTGGGGACCACATGGGGCCATTCTGGCGGATCCGGATCTGCACTGCCAGGAGCTCGGAGCCCCTACGAAGTCACAGGACGCGTGCAGCGCTGATTTGGTCGCTGCGAGGGTCTGCAACTCCTCCTGGGACGAAGACCGGTGCCACTGGCTGAAACATGAATTCTCTTTTCAGCCATGTCAAATTTCACGAGCTATGGTTGTTTGGTGCTTTTATGGATTTTAAGGGGATGGATTCAGCCAATGAAATGGTCAATTATAACAGTACATATTCCAAGTTCACCAGACATGCGTGTGAATCGAATCCACGTCAGCAACACGCAGCACCAGCTAACCGCTTCCGTGGATCTGACTGCATTGGCCGTGGGTGGTGTGCTGAGTGCGACTACATGACGACATGGGTTTTCCACCAAGGGAAGCGGCAATGCGTCTCCACAGAAATGGACAAATGACAAATGGGTGAACGAGAGTAAACACTCTAGAAACCAGCGGTTGTGCTTTTCTTGCTGTGCCAATGGGTGAATCCGGCCACAAAACTTCCCTCTCCCAACTACTCCAACTAGCACCCTTCGGTGGGTCGCTCGTTCGGGGTTCTGCCTCGGTCAAGCCCATCTTCCGCATGGCTTCCGCCCTGGAGCGCCGAGGTCACGGCTTCAGGGGGGGCCACCTGCCAGGTGCCTCCCCAGTAGAAGCGCAATAGAGTGACATGATGCTTCCAAGCCAACTCTGGGGTTGCTACAGGTTGGTATCTTATCCATTCTGATTGGAACGGGGGGGAGAGGGTGTCAATCTGATGGTTACCTGATCCAAGGTTACTCCGTTTTGATGGTTAGACTGTGCACTGCCAAATCCTTCTAAACATGTGTAAGCGGATGTACGGAAGAAATCGTTTCCATGACAACTTATTCGGAAGAGAGATTCCTACTTGTCCTCCGAGACATCCATCAGGCTTCGACATCTTCTTTTCGGCCTTCTTTCCACTGAGGCGAAGCCATGTGGTCTTTTCGGCCTTCTTGCCACTGAGACGAAGCTATTCACAATATTTCACAATGTGTAGGCCGCCTGTAGGCCGTTCGTTCAAGCCACCATCCAATGGAATGTCATTATAGTGGATGGAGAGTAGATGACACAATCCCCCAAGATTGGTGGTATATCATGTGGCTTGTGCGGACTCCAATCTATAACAAACATGTAGGTGGTTTGTGCCATCTATGCTGAAACCACTGATCCCAAGATCAGCCATCCCCCCGTGGACCACGTCTTCCACGGGTCTTCAGTCCGCCAAGTGGCACATCACCTTCCAGTGTGGCCTTCACGATCGACTTCTTCCCGATGTCCTGGAATGGAAAAGGGAACCTTCGAGGTGTACACAAAGGCCTGGCGTTCTTGTAATGTCCTATGCTGGTTTCATCTGGTTTCCTATGCTTGGAGCACCAAAGATTTCCACCCATGTTTCCAAGAACTTTGGTCAGGCCCAAACTCAGGTCAGAAACCGGTGCTCCAGAATATGTCGCACCACTCCGAGAAAGGAACCTGGCACGAATTAAAGAATAAGTATACCAGGATCATCCAATGGGTGTCCAATAGACTACCCTACCCTACTTACAGGTCTCCATTGGGCACCCGTTGGAAGTGCTAGGTATACAGATTTGCATCTTTCTCTCGGGCCATGTGGGTCAGCTCCCACACAACTCACGTTGGGACAGAGCCCCATCGGCTTGGAGCGCCTTGGTGGCGCTCTTGATCTCCGCCTTCATCTCCTCCGCGAGTTTCTCGAAAGATTTTCGGGACTCCTGCCACCCCGGCGGCACCAGGCTGGCGCCAGCGCTGAAACAGCGCGACGGTGGTCATGCGACGGTGGTCAGAGCACGGGAGCGAAGTAGAGGTGGAGGAAGCTGTGGAGCACTGGCTGGAACGAGGGAATGGACCCCCCGTAGGTATATTATCTAAAACGGGGCTGTCACAGGGCATTGTCACTGGCTGCAGGGAATGGGTCCAACAAGTGGAGATTCGGGTCCGAAAATGGGCCGCCCTCATCCGCACATCGACGGCCCAACCCCCCCCATCACTCCTCATCGCCTTCCTGTGCTTCCTCCTCCAGTCGCACGGAGTTCTTTTGGACCTGCTCCAACATCTCCATGACCTGGAACCACTTGGGGGATAGAACAACTTGTATCTTGTTTATAATGATTTCTGAATTGCTACCCGCCCTCCCAAAACCCACCGCTAACAGATGCCCGATGGTTTGTCAGACTGATTGTGTGGTGAACCTGGTGAACTGGAAGGAGACAAGGAGCATATGGGCTTCAGTGGATATCACAAAAACCATCCTTGCTATGATGCCACCAACAAAAAAGATCTTGGTCTTTCAAGGATGAGATGGAAGGAAAAATCATAACAAATTTCATAGCCATCATAGCCTGGAGACCGAAAATGTATTGCCTCAAAGTCTTCAATGCCAGAAGGACAAGGTTGCTGACACCATGCCAGGTTGCCATACTTGGATTCGGGTCAGGGAAGAGAGTTCTCATTCTTATGTACGCAGGGCCTGATGAAAACACAATTCGTGTGACCATTGTCCATCTTTGCTGAACGATTACATTGAAGTGGAACAACTTCCATTAATTATATACCTGTCATATACTTGTCACCTGCAGCATAACGACTCAGCAGTTCTATGGCCCTATGGTTTTGAATCCATGTCGAATAGGGGGTTATCAACCAAGAGTCTAATCGCACTCTGACTCACTAACATCGAAGTGGATGGCATGGCCCCTGTCAAGACCATGAAATCCACCTTCCGGTGGCACCATCCATTTCCATATATTTCCATGTGATGTGTTCGTCGGCGTGTGCAAGATTGTGACACATCTTCCATTGATGTGGCTTCACTCACATCTCAACCCCCGGACACCACTGGGCCCCGGCTGCATCGCTGGGTACTTCACTACCGGCCTGCAAAGAGAGTGCAACACAGAACATGCCAAGCACAGGGGCGGTCCGTTCCGCTCACTCGCAGGTTCATCACGACTCCGGGTCCCAGCTGTGAGGGCCCCCCGACGGTGCGCCGGCACGGTCGTGCTAGGAGGTTCAAGGCTGCAGGGCAGCACAAAGAACTGTACTCATTTGTATTTCTGCAGCTTAAGGAACCACGGCACCCACCTGCAAGAAGAACCCGATTCTTATCAGGCGGTCAGTTTGGGGCAGGTCGATTCTACTGAAAGATCTTGTAACAGGGCAGAATTGGAACTTGTAACGTGCAAAAGGGGCCTCTCATCAACTTCATGAACATCGCGGCAAGGTTGAAGGCAGTTGGGAATTGGGAACATACTTCCTCACTGGGGTTCATCAGCGGTTGGTCCAAAAAGACCCCACAAAGAAGCATTCTGCGCATCTTGGTTCAGATCCACATCTCTCGCGAGAAACCACATGAAGCCAAGCTCTATAATTTGTTCATATTCAATAATTCCGACAATAACTTGTTCATCAGAAAATTGCTCGGATGGATTGGAACACCCTGGTTTCGTCACGTCACAGTCGTCTCCTTCACCTGGTTGTGACGACATGACATGATGGGGGCCCGCCTGAGCCAAGGAGACTCCTTTGTAGACCTCCGCCAAGATTTCTTGCGCCTCACCCAGAACAAAGAGGTTGGCCAACATGGAACTGTCACTTGTGGCCTCCAAAACCTGCGCCTCACCGGTTCTTCGCTTCGACATGCGACCCGACCCAGCAGCGGTGACGTGGTCAAAGCTGGTTTGATTGGGACACCGGGGTTCTGGAGGAGGTTCAGCACTGGAAGGCCTCCAAGGTTGGATGAGAAGAACCAGACTGAACAGCAGGTTCTCCATGGCCTATTTGGAGTCCCACGAAGGTGCCGCACAAGTCTGGCTGCGCCTCAAAGAGGTGCGGGGTTTTTTGGCGGGTCAAAAGGCCCTTCACCTAACAGTTGCCTTGATGTTGTCCATATATGCCATATGCCAGTCTCATCACACCTCAAGAGGCCCCAAGTACCAAGGGGCTTTCCTGGTGAAGACCCAGTGCTCAAGGAACCCACCAAGTGCTCATCACAGCACAAAGCTCATCTGATCACTGCAGAAACAATAAATTCTTCCTTTTTTGCTCCCGGAACCACCGGTCGCCGCACGAAGCACCGCACCTGTCCCAAAAGCTTCTGCGTGAGGCGCTCGTCCGCAGCCATGTCGGCGAAGTCGCCTCTGGGGAGTGACTAACATGGGACAAACCCGTTTGGTAGAGGAAAACATCGTGTTCCCAATAGTTATTTTGGGGGTGGGGAGGGTGTAGTCCGCCAACAAAATTCTCTTATGAGGGGCCTATGCTGGCCCCAAAGTGGAAAAGCATAGAACAGCCTTGCAGGAAAATGATTCAAATAGACTCATCACATTGACCAAATAGATCCAAATAGGACAAGCACTAGGACAAGCCCATATAAAAGACATCATCCACAAGGCCTCGACATCTACGACTATATGCTCTGGTGATCTCTGGTGTTCCTTTCAGCTCCTTACTTCTCAGGATCTCCCGAACTCAGCCCCAGTGGCTCATCTCCTTGGCACGAGTCTTTTGGGCTGCCTGGCAGGTCGACTTCGCCGACCGGAGGGCGACCGTCCACGCCCCTTGAAGAGGACCCCGGAGCCCGCTCCATTCAGGATCATTCAGGCCAGGATCAGGCAAGGAGGTGGATTTGGATGTTCTTGGGATTTCTGGGGGTGACTTGTGTGGGGGCAATCGATGGTGTGCGTGATTCTTGGTCTTCAACCGGTTATGGAATCATTTGGGATCACGGTTCCAAAACGTCCCAAACGATCACAGGAATTTCCAGTCTGCCGAAAAGCACTCTGTCAAGTCAGTGGCCTGAAGCTGTTCTTGGAGGTCTTCGACCTCCTTCTTGAGCTTCCCGATCTCCTCCTCCACGGTCTGCGCCTCATCCTTCCACTCACCTAGCCCACGTGACACTCCAAGGGAGGGTCAGTGCTGATAGAAAAGCTGGTGGTTGACTTCACACCAGCTGGAAAGGTACTAGACTATATTTAGTCCTTTAAGATGAATCGATCCCGAGGTATCGGTTAAACATTCACATCTCCACCAACCAACCAACCAACCAACCAACACCCCCGTTGGTCTCCCCACGGATTTTCCCCTGCGTTATCTCGTTCTGCTGCTGCTTTTGCTCCGTGGAAGCTGCATTCTCCTCAAAGTCCTGAGGACCCCGGCGAAGAGGTTCTTAGAGGTGAAGAGCTGGGGTGGGAAACTAGGGTGAATCCTTGCGGATCACTAGGGGCCCATTCCAACGTCTTGTAGTTGAAAAGATGTTGAAAGCACTCCGATGGGCCGAAAACAAATCACGCAGCTGCGGCTCTCACTTCGCCTCCCAGCTCGGTGTGTGTACAGGAAACTGGAGACTTGCACCACCCTGCAGCCCATGCTCTTGAACAGGAACACTAAGATCTGACAAGTTTGGAGACACCCTCCTTGCCGCCGGTCTCACCTACTACAAATTGCTCTGTCACGATCTCAACAAAAAGCTGAAGGCTTGCGGGACTCTTGATATATGTTGCACCAACCTCGTCCGACGCGACCGTCCTGCGTGCAGGCGCTGTTCTTGGTGACCTCGTCCTTCTGCTCTTGCTTCAACGCGCGGAGCATGCCCTGCGGGTCCCCGGCATCAAGAGCTTAAGCCGCCGCGTGGTCCGAAGTTTCTCAAGCACCCGGTCCGTCGCGGGTTGGACAAAGGTTTACACATGCACCCCCCTCCAAAAAAAAAGAACAAATGTGTGGGATCCGGCTGAGCTTTCTTACAAATGGTTTTAAAAAATTAAGCACTTCTGTATGTTCTTTTGCGGCAATGATGTGTGCTGCGGTTATCTTGCATCTTGCCTCTATATAGTCCGGGACGACTCTTAAACACCCAGCAACTTAACCTCCGTAATCCTCTGCACTTGTAGGCTTTAACTTCGATCCAATCCCAGGAATATGGACATGTCAAAATATGTCCTTCCCCACCCAGTCTGGGCCTCTTTCATTTGAAAACCCCAACGGCCCAGCACGCAGCCTCGATGGCTTCCTTCACCTTGTCCAAGCTGCCAGCCTCCCATGCAAGGCGTTGCGGTGTTGCGCGCGAGCCGCCAGTGTGGCCAGGTGGGGGGGTCTGCCCAGTGGACTGACTTGCCGGAACTCCTGACTGCTTGTCAGATTAGGGATTCATGATTTCCACCCTCTGTCAAAAAGGGGTAAGCAGGGTGTCAGGTGATATCAGATGTCTCCTCCAATCTCCTCAGGCAAATGCTGGGTTTGGTTGCCTTGACCTCAAGTTCCTAAATCTGAGGCTTTTGTGGCTTAGCTTAGGCCACTCGTGCACTACCCGCTCCACAGAGTCTAATTCAAGTCCGACAAGCGATGGTCCCGTAGCCTTGTGAGCGCACAAGGCTAAGCCTAGGGTGGGGCACCCTCTGCTGAAACCGTCTTCCCAGAATAATGGGAGGGATGATAGATGACGAATGATGACGATAGATTCCCCCCTGCGGGCTTCTGTGAACACTTGAGGCACCTTCAACTTGAGGCCCAGGACCACCAGCTCCTGAAAAGCGATTGCTGCATACTGCAAGACGAACTCAGGATGAGGATGGAAACAGGCCCGGATCCGATTCGACAGGCAGCCAAGGGGTGAAGCGGTGTGCCAAGGTCAAGGGCACAGGTCTAAATGGTCATGTTATGTCATATGGCACTTGCAGCTCATGCGGTCAAGGCAGCTTTGTCCCAGCAAGGTGGCTACCGTCTGGATTGCTTCATGACCCAGACTAGCACAGTGGATGGTTGAAAGGGTGAGTTGCTCGTGGAGCCCTTGGCGCCAACCATCACTGGTCAACTTGGCCTACGTAGGACATGCCAACATCTCATCACCAAAAACAACAAGTGGTCCCTTCATTGGCAGAACCGTCCAAAATACGTTGAATGCCACGCTGTGAACCACTCACAGGCTGGAAAGCAAGTAACAGGGTGTCCTAGGGAGGAGGAGAAATACCCACACTTCTGAATTTATCATGTGTCCCAAAACATGAAGTATATATATATGTGTGTGTGTGTGCCACACACTGTTTCTAAGGGTTTTCCAATCACTCCCACTTTCCACACAAGCAGGGGATTATATATCATTACGCAGCAGGGAGTGCACAGTTCTGCTGCCAACGAAGACAGCTGTGGATACTCCGTGAAGCAGATTGGGACGCCAATCTGTGTACCTGCGCCAGTTTTCAACTTTTGACCAAGCCCTTCCAATCTCTCTCTTTTGTTTTCATGATGGTTCATGATACTTCCCCCAAACCATTTCCTTCCGCATTGCCGCAGCCGAACGCGGCTTTCACTTGAGCGCTTTCGGAAACAATTTTCAACAATACTGTTTTGCTGACTCATGCACCTTTCCGTTCCATCGCCATCCTTCCCATCGTGGCAATTGAGTTAACTGAAAACCAATGTCAGTGTGAGAGCCGCTCAGTCTTCCCACATGCGTACTGGGTGTGACCCTCCGAAAGGAGGCGCCGAAACCATTCCGGAATTCACTGACACTTCACTTTTATAACTGTTTTCCCGCTCGTTCATTTCTATCACTGAATTAACGGATTTTCGAGCCGCCGGGCTATAAACGATGGATTCCTTTCTGATTACCTGATTGATTCATTCATACCGTCTTGCATTGTCACGACATTGTTTACTGCATTTCCCAATTTTTTAACCCGCAGCCATTTGATCAGCCTCCACATGTTTTACACCACTCTGCATTGCATTTCATACCATAAGATCAAGCACTGGTCCAACTCTACGCCCAAAAAGGGCACGACCTGCAAGCGTGCAGGCGGTTTTTGAAAAAAGGTCCGTTTTTCCACTGCTCTGCATTCGCGCCGAGTTCGGCTTCTTGTGTGTGTCACACCCTGCTTCTAAGGGTTTTCCAATCACTCCCACTTTCCACACAAGCAGGGGATTATATATCATTACCCAGCAGGGAGTCCACAGTTCTGCTGCCAACGAAGACAGCTGTGGATACTCCGTGAAGCAGATTGGGACGCCAATCTGTGTACCTGCGCCAGTTTTCAACTTTTGACCAAGCCGTTCCAATCTCTCTCTTTTGTTTTCATGATGGTTCATGGTACTTCCCCCAAACCCTTTCCTTCCGCATTGCCGCAGCTGAACGCCGCTTTCACTTGAGCGCTTTCGGAAACAATTTTCAACAATACTGTTTTGCTGACTCATGCACCTTTCCGTTCCATCGCCATCCTTCCCATCGTGGCAATTGAGTTAACTGAAAACCAATGTCAGAGTGTGTGTGTGTGTTTCTGTTGGTCTATGTTGGTCTGAATGGGTGGGTTATGGCGGTTATGGTGGGGTCACTTGGTATGTCATCCAATTCATGAACTGGAGGCGTTTTCGAGCGTCACAGAGCTCCATTGCAAAGAATTACACTTCCCAGACCGACCGTCCATCTCAAACCCCACTGATGCCAGTTGATCAATCAAATAAGAGAAACATAGAACAAATCAGAACAGTTTGCGGTTCAAGCCCCGGCTAAGGAAGTCGGAGAGGGAAAAAAGGAACGATTTCGGTCTCCATCCGTCTCAACCGGAACGAGGCGGCCGGGACTCCTCCTTGCCCAACGTGTGCCCTGCAACCAGCAGCTTCTCAGCCGCAGGACTTGAGAAGGTGCGAGAGCTCAGTTGGAGAAAAGACCTGAGTGCACAGACACCACCTGGGACTGGCATATTGGCTGATCAGTTGGGGTAGTGAAAGGGTGCGAAAGGGGGTCAATGGGGTGGCATATGCCACCCTATGCATGGAGTGTGGGTATAGGGAATAAAGCCACCAAAGTGGTGAAGCAGGCCATGCGCAGGCCATGCGCAGGCCGTGGTGGTTATTGACTTTCGCAGTGAGAGTGGCAGGGAAGGGCGAAGTGGTGCTTGAGGAAGGCGAGGTGCATATGCAACAGTAAAATCGTGACCAAAGGCTTTGTCTTGTTTGGGTCAGTCTCCTTCTCCCATCTCTTTCTTGATTTCTCCCGTTTCTCCAAGACCCGGATGGCGACAGTATTCCTCAAGAAGGGTCCAGATGTTGCGTACTCCCTAGGCTTCCAACCACCATTAATTTAATCGGTTTTACCGAATCAACTAAGGATTTTACACTACAAACACCAGGTCAACCATCTTTTTAATGGTCTTGGATGTCTAGGGTACTCGTGCTGCCCTCCTCTGGCCACACCAATCTCTACCAGTCGCATAGCCTCGCCGCCCCGGACCACAATGATGATCAAACATGTGTCTTCCTTAGGTCCTTTAGAGTATCGGGGAGGTATCTACTGAACAGACTTGAGTACGAGTATCTTCCACATGTCGGGTAATGCCTGAGTATCGATGGAGACGTCCTTCCTTTACAATTGTAGATACAGGTAAACGACCGAGAACTACCAACAAGTCGCACCTGGTTTTCCTTGAGCCAAACGGTAGTTAAGTGAGACATGTATACGACATCCTAGCGTGAAACAACACCCCCCGCTGAACGAAAATGGGAGGAGTGAAGTTATGTACAGTGCACTAATTAAGGACCTACGAAGGTATCCGGTCCCCCGGTACGTGCGAAGCATCGAACCGGAACGTGCCTTGAGATGGAGAGGATGGTTGACCTCAAGGACGGATCACATAATGCACTGTCATGTTTTGATGCTAGGGTTGAACATGTCTCAACTGATTCGTGCATGAAAGTTCAAAGCAAGCTCACAAAGATAATCTCTTTTGCGCAGCGGAACTGGGAGTGCAATGCCAACCTTTTAGAAAGCAGGAACAAAGCCATCAAGGCACACGCTCCCGCGTGGCGACAAAGCACAACAAAAGATGTGCGCTCTTCATTGCAAGGATTGAGAGCCAAGTTCATCGACCTGAACTCAAACGAATTAGCTGCTGGTTTCAGGCATCCGGTCCCCCGGTGCATCACAGAAACGGTCATCCAGGCAACCGCTCCCGCGGTGCGTTGAGGGAAAAACACAGTGCACAAAGACAGCCGAGTCACCCGTAGATTTCATTCCCTTCTCCACAGGCAACAGCTCCCGCTGTGCGTCGTGTTCACCACCTGCGCTGACTCCACCAGTCATGTCCTCGCCAGTCACTGCCACGACTGCGATCATCTTGCCACCAGTTGCGGTTGGATGAGGACCACCAGGAAGACGATGAGGACGACTGCTGCCAATCATGGTATTGATCACTTCCAGCAGCTCCTCGCCAGCGTTGCTCTGATGTCTCGGCTTGAGTACGTGTTGCTCTGGCCAGACTTTCACCTGGACCTGGTGCGGCCTTGGCCTTGGGAATCACAAGCGCCCTTGTTTCTTTCACAAGGTTGATATCCAAGCCAGGTACAAATTGAGCATCGCCCATCACGAATTCCAGGAGTTCATCCAATACATCATCAGGGTCTGTCTTCTCACTTCGCCACTCACCTCCAAATCCCAGGATTGCGGGTCGTTTCGCACCTTGACAATAGTCCGCAGCGAAAGTCTCAGGACGGTGCAGCCTGTTCTTCCAATAAATGAAGAAGTCCTCGCTCAGGTCAGCATCATTCCCTTTTGCTGGTTCGTTCATGAAGATGACTTTTCCAGCGTATCGATGACCGACGCCACGAGCAATCATTTCCCTTGTCCTCGGAGGATCAGGGATGATGGCATCTGACAGTCGTTCCAGGAATTGAATGCAGATTGGAGAGAGGTCCTGGGCTGCACAGTTGAACGCGTAGAAAGCGTCAGTCAGCTGTCGCTGCGATACCGTCATGGACATCTTGTCCGCCTTCTGGACATGGCTTTTGGCGTTCGCTTTCAAGATGTTGATGCCCGAACGAGAAGCACGTTGAACTTCATGGCCAGGCGTCCCCGCCGGCGTCCTCCTCACACCTGTTCCTTGCAGCCTGTCCTCAGGTACCATGTCCATCGTGACTTCGATACCGAGATCTGCTGCAATTTCCTCGATCCGAATGAGCTGAGCAGCTTTACACAGATCCGAGGCATTGTTGAGGAAGGTGCCGCATGTGATGCAGGACATCATGCCATGGGTGTAGGTATTTGTGCATGTTGGGCACTGATCTTCTGGCATCTGAATGCCCTCAACGACCATCCATCGAGTGTTGCCATAACCCTCAGTCTCGGGGTGGATCTTGCGCCAATCAAACCGAGGTCGGTTGTAGTTGGGCAGCATCTCTTTGGGCGACACTTGGTTCCTGTAGGCGTTGAAATTGGGCCTGCGAACGACATACGTGACCTCGTATGTTTCCAAATCAGGATTATGCTTTCCTGATATCATTTGGTCTTTCACGCCTGGGCGTTCAAACAGTTCACCGTACACGAATGGGGAAAAAGTGTCCACCTTACCACACCACCTCTCATAGTCACCAAGGACCTGGTAGGTGTACTTTTCCAGTGGACTTTTCACCATTTCATCGTCATCGGCAACTGGTCCCCCAGTGCGTGCTGAATTGAAGGCTTTTGTTTCACCGGTAATGATGCCGCGATAGTGTGCGTACACATGGTTCGCGAAGGCGTAGCATCGGGACTCCATATCATACACGTAAATCACGTTCCGGTTTGCCAGCCAGTCAGGGCATAGGATTGTACCAGCAGTTGTTTCTATGAGCCGGTGCCCGTTCAAAATCATCATCTGGAGATCCAAGGCAACGCAGATGGGGCGAGTCGCCGCCATCGCTGCATAGTCAGTGCCCGAAATTGTCCACGGATCTTCCTTCGTCAAGAATGTGAACCTGGCTCCAGTTCGATTGCCGCCGGGAATCAATCCCATGTTGATGATCTCAACCAGTGCTGCCCGGTGCGTGTAGTGATAGAGGATGGTGGGGGCCACCTCCTTCACCTTTCCCAGCGCACCTCGCGGAACCCGAGGGAATTTGCCGGCCAGGTATTCCACCGAAGTATACTCCTCATCGAGAGTGACAAAGCGTTCATGCTCCGGAAGTGCGTCCTTCACGTTGTTGCTTGACCATTCATTATGGTTCTGAATCGCTTTGATCCGAAGAGGTGTATATTGGTATTTTCCACCGACCAAAGTCCCCTTTGGCGCAATCCTCACCTCGAGCATGAATCTGTGATTGGATGTGATGACCGTCAGCAGTTCATCGTTGGTAAGGTTGACATCGTACTTCCGCTTGATGAACGAGTACACCTTGCCAAAGTCCATCCACAGCCCAGCGTCGAAGCTCGGAGGCTGCACCTTGTGCCAGGATTGTTTACTATGCTCCCACCCTCGGAGCAAGCCCGAGACGCGTCGGGAAATCCAGACTTGTTTCGAGTTCAGGTTCGCCAAATTGGCAGCACCCGGAACCGATCTTGACTGCAGTGCCACAACTTCGTTTTCCCCAAGAGGCGACGAAACGGGAGGCACCGGTGGTGCCCGAGGCATGGCCTTGGCTTTGACAGCTGGTTTTGCTGTCGGGGTCGAATCCGAGGCCACAGCTCCCGCCGGGCGTTTTGGTACCTTGGGCTGAGTTTCCTCTGTTGGCTTCATTTCAACATCGGCCTCAGCTCCCGCCGGGCGTGCTTTTGCCTTCGGTGATGCCGGTTTTGTTTTCGGCTTTGCAGCCTCGCTTGGCACTTTTGGTGCCCTCGGCTCACCTGATGCCTTCGCCTTTGGGATCCTCGGTTGTGGTGCCTTGTTAGCCAGGTCGGGCTCGTTCCCCAGAGTTGTAACCTCACGGAACTTCCTGAGTGCCTCACCAGTGAGCTGAGGGATGTCTTCTTCCGCCATGTAGATGCGAATGACATCGCTTTCATCCTCCTTCTTCCTCAACTGGTAGGTTACCCCGGCGACCTGACATGAATCGGCATGCATAGATGTGAGAATCGGTTCCTTGAATACGATCTCCTCATCTGAGTCATCATCTGGCTGATCTTTGTTTTCAAAGCCTTGTTTGATGGCGGAGTCAAGGTGATCTTTGAGAAGTTCATTGACATAGTTTTCATCCGCAATGGGTTCATTGGATACATGAAGCTCCTCTTCTTCCGTGATGGTAACAGGGTCCACCTCGGTGTCACCGTGCTTTGGCATATCAGCGGTGACAGACACGAACTCCATGCCCGGAGTGCTCACGGGAGCCTGGTTGTTTGCATCTCGACCTTCCGTCCCCGGAGGCGAATCAGCGCTGGGCGCAAAGGTGTCGTCAATCTCGATGACTTCTGGCACACTTGCATCCGGCATTGTCTGATCAGCCTTCGACGGTTCAGCCGGGACTTGCACATCCTGACCCTCGTCATAGAAATCCGGACCAACGGTTCCCCGTGGCATATTGTAAAGTCGCTGATTGAATGGCAAGAGCTTGGCAGCTTCAATCTGCTCCTTAGTCGCGTAGACTGGGTCCCCAAAATCATCCATGTGAGCGACCTCGGTAGTCTAGAGACCGTCAGGAGCCAGCCATTCTTTTGGTCGATGGCAGTCTGCCTCTTTTGACCCGGGATAAGCTCATCGTGCTCGTCAAAGTCACCCAAGAAGAGGTACCCGGAATCAATGCACCGCTTCCAGATGTGCTCAAGCATATACTGGCGGTGGGTTTTCTCCCCACGAGGTTTCGCGAAGAGGTTGGCATCTTTGCGCAACACATCAACGCCAGCGAGCACCCAGTAGTGGTAGGCAAACAAAGCAACGTTTGCGTAGTACTTCACGAACATCGCCCGGTTCTCTTCGGTGTTGTGG